TAAATTCGCATTTATTGAGGGGGTCAATTCCAACTTTTTCCGTCTGTTTGGATTCGAGGTATCCAGTATCGGAATGCACAGTGTTCACGGTCTGTGGTAATAATCCAAGTAGTAGAAGTAGTAGTAGTAGTAGTAGTCATGCTACTGTAGGTGTTAAGGCTCAGACGCTTAACCCTAACAGCTACAACCTTTCAGGCCCCGTTCCTTAGGAGATGGGAGAAGTCTTGGGAAGGCCAGATTGTTAGGAATAGTTTATTCTCCAGAAGGATAGAAGAATAGGTAGAGAGATTTGACTATCGGAGCACATGTCCGGCCGCGAGGCGGCCCAGGTCCGAAGTACCGTCTAGGACGCAGACATTCGATTCGCCACCTTTGGCTGCAACCGTGAAGGTTATTGAGTGGGCCACGCGTGGGTGAACCGGCGTGGACGCATTAGTATATGCGTCAGTGCGTCTGGCGGTAGCATCGGCCTTAAGCTTTGTCCAGACCGATTGAGTCCAAGCCACTGTGGGTTGAGACCAGAATGGGGGAGACATTGTGCGTGCACTTGGGTGCGCCGCAGTTGCGCGTCAGTTTAGCCTGGCAGCAGTTGCGGTAAGGTACACTACACTACTATTAGTAGCAATTGGGATGGAAGCAATAGCGATTCTGACAGTATAAGAACAGCTAGAATCAGGGCTTAGGAATTTCCTAGTAGGAATTACATTTCGACTGTAGAATCCGACGATGTCCACTTGTAATGCACAGCATGCCGAGCATAGGGACGCTGAACCGCCCACAGATAAATTTATAATAGACTTGCACAGCATCTACCGTACATTCTGTCTCTTACCCACCTGGTTGCCGTGTCAAGATTACCGGAAGAGGAAATCGGTGAAGGTGTTTGGGTGGTATAAGCCTGCACCTAGGCATACTACTATAGATCCTGTATGCGGCTTTTGTTAGGGGTGAGCATCTTCCGTACTTTACTAGGCCCCCCGGTTGACCGACGAATCTACCGTTGGGCCCGATGCAGTGGCACCGTAAGTATCGCAACTCAGGCAACGTGTGCATACTACGGGTGGTCTCAGTACTACTAACAGTATTGACGATAATGTTTCACATTTAGATATAATCACTATTGAATGGTAGGACGCCCAGCGATCTAGTTAGGCAACATGCCCGTCCCATTGTCGTGCCTTGGAGCTCAATCTAGAGCCCTCGCAGGCAGTTGCATAGTGACTTGTTATAAATTGATTGAGTGCAAATGGCGAAGGCATAGGAAGACCGGAATAGGCATTTCTGGCTTATCAACCGTCATCAGCCAATCAGACAGGCCCTTAGCTCAGTGTCAGAGTTTTACACTAGGTTACCAAGGGCGCATGTGTTCGCATCTCGGGTGCTCCACACCTGGGATTGGCTATGACTGGCTGATGACAGCAGAAAATCCAGAAGTGGTCGTTCGAGTCTCCCTTGTCTTCATCGGTTCCACTCCATCATAGTCACTAGTAGCTGTGAAATTTGTTACATCAACAGTTATTGCATGGTCAGTAATCCTGGTGGGAGTACGCCAAGTACTCGCGCTAATAGATGTGGCGGTAAATTTTGCAAAACAGAGTAAGCCTATTAGCAGGAATGTTCAAATAAGTAGATACTGTTGTATAAGTCGCGAATATAATAACATTATTGATTAAAGTAGTGATGATTTTATTGATAATAGTGTTAGCCATAATAATTGCAGCAGGTATAACAGTGTTATTAGCTACAGGTGTATTTGCAGTAGTAGGCGTAATAATAACATAGATGGTATAGTAATATTTCGCATAAGTTTATCAACCACACTGCCAGCACAAGCAGTAGTCTAGAGCTCAATACCAGGCAGTTCGTTAACTTTGTGCCGCTATAAGACAAAGTTTTGAATAGGTCTGTATGCTGAAAGAGATAAACAGTAACGACAAAGAAGACTGGATTATTAAGTTCCTGCTTATAACATCGCACAAGCCAGCCCTACCTAGCCTCCGATGTGGGGGACACTGGAGGCTCGAATGTGTATTCTTTCGGTTATTTTAATGTTTTAAACCTTGGGACACGGCGGGCTTGTCGTCTTTCCGTTTAGCATCTGGAATCTAACCAAGGATAGATGGAAGCGTGACAAACGGCTTTGGCACCTGTTCGTCCCAGTGTTTAGATGTGCACTGAGAGTTTTCAGA